CCAGCTGCTTTTGTTTGCTGGTTCTGCCTTTTAAAAGGATTTTGTGATTCTATGGGTGATTAAGGCAGATAATGAGCTCCACTCAAGTTTGTGCCCCGGGAAATAAAAAGAGAAGCAGGGAAGGTGCCTGAGGTGTTTCAGACCAATGATTTAAGCTGGATTCTCATTTAGATTTCTTCAGTTTGGGAAATCCAGGCTGACCTCTCTCAAGCCTGACTTTTCAGAAATGCTCTTGGAAAATGAAGGTGCTCAGGACTCCTTTAAACAAATTAAAATGATGTCTTGTTGGGCACAAAATTCAAGTTGTAATTCCTCGTTGCTTACCAACCTGAAGGAAGTGATCATTTAATGTCTTTTTCATGAAGCGTTTAAAACTGTTGTGCTTTTTTTATTGTTTGTTTTGTATTTTTGAGGGAAAGTACATTAAAATAATTGAGAAAGAAAAAAAGAATATTGCTGAAGCACGTTTTTAGTTTCTTATTAAAGATATGAGGGGTTGACACCTATTTATGGAGTCATTCAAAAAAATGTGGAGTGTGGTAAACGCAAGGGCTCAGCCTGAGCACGACTCAACCAAAACCAGGAAGGAATCCCTGGACTTAGGGAAACTGCAGAGGGATCTTCATGTCCCATGAAGAACAGGACCCCTGAAGGTGCTCAGGACCCCCTGGAATGAACTGAAATTGCATTTTCTCGTGCACAGAGCTCCAGCTGCAGCTCCCGTGGGTTTTCCATACCCACCCAGCTCCGTCCGAGGGGAGAGCACCTGGCACCGGGAGGATTCCACAGGGAAAGAACCAACCCAGCTGAAAGTTCCACTGAGAGGGGAATGATGGGTTTGTCTTTACAAACAAGCCGTGGGTCTGCTGGTAGAGAAAACTGAGAGATAAAAGAAACAATGGGATGGATTCCACTGATTGGTGAATGGAAAAATATATATATATATATATATATTTGCCTTTACAAACAAACTAGGTTTGCTGATGAATTGGGTATTGGAAGGTGAAAGAGACAATGGGGAAACACCATAAATTCCATAAGAATTAAAAATGAAGAGGGAGGGTTCTACATTAGAGGGGAATCTCAGGTGTCAGGCACTCGGGGAAGTCTGTGCCTCTCCAGTCCCTCAGCCAGTGGGGAAAGAGAGAGGGACATGGCCGGGAAATTGGGATAAAAAGGAGGCTGCGTCCCCCAAAAATCGAGAGACCCCAGGAGAATGTCCCATGGCCTCTCCCTTTATTTCAATAAAGCTTCAGGACTCCTCTGTCTCCTTCTTGGACATCAACCTCTGGTGTTTGTGGATTCATTTTCTGGGCACACTGGATGGTCTCCAGTCTGAGGCCAGAGCTCCTGCATGTGTGGGAGAAATCTCAGCTTCGCCGCTGATTGCATTTCCCAATTAATAAAACAGGGATACTCGGGCAGGGCTGCAGAGAAGGAGCACTGGAGATCATCCCGTGCTGGCCCCGCTTCCAGCTCCAAGGTGCTCCAGGCAGGTACCAAAGCACCCCTGGAAAATGGGATTTAGTGGGAAAATCACATTTTTGTTTGTGTTCTTCAAAGCCCAACAGGGGAATCTGGGATCTGTTTTCCCTCCCCGTGTTCCTGCCTTGCTGAGACTTAAAGAAAAGGGCAAGGAGGCCACTGCAGAGCAAATGAGTCTCTTAATTTGCCGAGGCTGTTAAGGTTTTATCGGATTACAATAAAGGCTGTGGTTTGATTCCCGGCACTGCTGGCAGGGCTGGGAATCACAGCCACAGATTGCAGCAAAAACCTTCCAAATTCCCATTTTCCAGCCAGGCACGGGCAGGACCTGCAGGCTCCAGGTCTCTGTTGGCATTGCTGGGCAAGGTGAGGATCCAGCCTGGGGATGCTGAGAGCTTTCCAGCAGGAGCAAGGTCATGCCCCTTTATCAATTTAATTATTCAGCAAGGATTTAAAAATAAGCTTCCTTCATCTTTCTGTCTTAAAACCATAACTTTTCATCTCAGGAGCTTCTTTCCTTCCTCCCAGACTCCTCCCAGCAGCCATCACGACAAGCAGAAGCAAAGCAGATTATGGCAAACAAATTTTCCCCTCCCATGGAAAAACCTTCTTGGGTTTGGTTTTTTTTTTTTCAGGCTTAAATTTCATTTGGGAAATAATTTTATTAATATAACACATCTTCTTTCAGCCCAGGGAGCGCTGGTATTTTGCTTGCCAGAGGGAGCAGGTCCAAAGGAGGCATTTAACCCTTTAAATAAGCAGCAATGAGAATCCAAAGGGAATTGAATTAAATATTTTATTCTTCCCTGTGGGGGTGGTGTGGCCCTGGCACGGAGAAGTTGTGGCTGCTCCATCCCTGGAAGTGTCCAAGGCCAGGTTGGAGCAATCTGGGATAGTGGGAGGTGGTGGAATGAGAATTGTGAGGTCTCCTCCAACCCAAACCATCCCATGATTCTATTAATGCCCTTGAGAAGTTGTTCTAATCAAAATGGGTCTCCCTGGGAGGGAATTCCCTCCTGCTTGACCTGTGTCACAAATATCTGGGAAGCTGGTGAAGGATCCCATCCCTGATGGGATTGTGGACGAGTTCATGGACTTTATTTCTTCTTCATTTGTCATCGTTGCCTGCAAGTCTGAAGGAATCTGGAGGGAAAATGAAGGGAAATTTTCCCCTCTCATCAAATGTGCCGCTCTCCATCAATTTACCTTTGGTCAAACAGCACCTGGAGCTTTGAATCCAAGCTGGGAATCTGATAAAAAATTATCTGGTGGGTCCTTCAACAGGACTATGAAAGATGAGGCCAGGTTCTCTCTGTTGCATCCTTCAAGGCCAACTCAGCCTTTGTTACAAACCAGAGTCTGTGCAAAGCTCCAAAGTCACGTTTTCCACAGGAAGACTCCAGAAAATGTTTTCTGTAGATAAAACCGTTTATTTTCGTTATGGCTCTCGAACTTTTCTTTCTATAATATAATATAATGTATTTATTATTAAAAAAAAAAATATATAACCAAACCAAAAAATTCAAAACAAAATTCTGAAATAGTCAAAACAGAATATTTTGACATTGTCAGAATTTTTCCCCTCAGGTTCTCTTCCAAAACAAAATTCCAGAGGGGAAAAAAACCACCCCAACATTAAATTATATTTAACTTCCACCTCAGCCTCACAGATTCCAATACAGAATAGTGGATTTTTTATTTTTTATTTTTGCAGGAACTTCTGCAGTCAGCACTTCCACAAAACCATGCAGAACAAATGACCAGGTATTTTGGTTTGATAGGTGTTTTTATGGCTCTGTATGTAAATAAGTTGGATAGTAATTAATCAGATTAGAAACCTTGCAAAAGTCAGTTTGCATTTTAATTCAGCTCCTGCTGAAGCAGGAAAATAGATGCAGTGGGTGATCAGATTAATATTAATGAGCATAATTACCTCCCTGTTCCAAGGATGGCATCTTGGTAATAGTAATATCCTTGTTAACCAAGGAAGGTCATGGAGCTGATTTACATCTGTGTGGGGATGCAACGGAATTTGTGGAAAATTAATTAAATGCTGGTGTGGAACTCCAACATGAAAACGTCCACCTCTATTTTTATTTTTTCCTCAGCGAGGAGTGATCCTTGAGGCGTTGTTCACCACCTGAGGGTGGCCCTGAAAGGACCTGCAAGGTCTGCAAAGCTTTTCAGGAGTGGCTCCATGAGCTGTCTCCTGTTATTGCACACATTTGGGCTGGAAACGGAGCTTTGCCAGAGGCAGGCTCACGATATTGCACAAAATTCCACCCAATGAGTGGCAGGCTATAAGAAAAACAATATTGATGTATTTTTCCCCCCGATTTGTGGTTTCTTTTGTCCACAGAGTGTTTTTTGTCTCGCAATGACGTCAAAGCAAAAATTCTCTTGCAAAATGACAACTGGAAAATAACCCTGAGAAGATATTGGATTTCCTACCTACTAATTAACTAACTCGGGCTTAATGGAACCTATTATATATTTCACCAAGTCTACAGGAGATTAGTAAAACAAAAGTATTATTTTCCTTTGTTTTGATTGCAGTGCTGGAGGCAGAGGCAGCTTCAGACTTCACAGGGAAGCGTTTTGTGTTCCTCAAGTATCCGAAAACTCCAGCATCATCATGGGAGGTGACAAGGACCACACCGGGTATGTCACCCTCAGGGGATGCCCCAGGCAGGGACAGTGATGATGACACATTTTGGTCACCGGGATCTCAATCTTCACAACAGCGATTCACTTTTTTCTAGGGGAAATAATCCCGTATTTCCCGGCTCTCTCCATTGCCTGTGGACAGAACCTCGGCTGGTTTTGCCATTTCGTGCTTCCCAAAAACAGGGAAAAGGGAAAGCAGCGGTGGCCAGCAGGAGCTAGGAGATTTGACAAACCCTTCCCCACATGTGAGAATGAAGTTGTGGCCACCAGAGCTCAGAAAATGATTCAGGTCACTCTGCCCATGGCGGGGAGTGGAACAAGATATTTGTAGAGAAAAGTTTTGGATATGAAAGTTTTGGCTTTCATGTTTTCCAGGTTGTGCACTGCATTGGTGCATAACTCTGAATTTCATAGAAAGTGTCAGCAGGGTCTCCTCACAGCTCAGCACACACAACAATCCTTTTCCAGCCCAGAACCAAGGACACCTCTGCAGCTTTGGGCCCAAAAAGTAAAAACAGCGAATTGAGAACAGTCTAAAAGAATAGAACTTCATAACCTGAAGCTGTAATTGGACAATTAACCAAATATGTAAATAGGCCAAAAGTTATAAAAGTGTAAAAACTCATGACCATCTTGGGTGGAGCCACGGCCAAGTCTTGCACTGCCCAAAGCGTAAAGGCCTTTTTAATAAATCCTGTAAAGGCTTTTTTAATAAATCCTGACTTTATTCCTTTAACCGTGTTCCAGGTGGCCTCACAAAGCATCAGTTTGGTTCCTTCCAGCCCATTCCGTACCTCTGTGATGAAGAACAGCATCGGTGAGCATTCTGTGATGCTCTGCATCTGGAAAAGGGAGGGCTCCTGTCCACGAGCATTGAGTGACAACCTCGAACCTGTTTCTTCCCAGCCCACCTGGGAATCCAACCTGCACTCGGATTTCAAGGGAGAGGGAATGTGAAGTGTTTCCTCATCCAACCTGCCGCTATCTCTTTAGCAGCGAGCCTCTCTCTCCTCTACGGTAATTTTCCATTGTGTAGAATCAAACCTTATCTTCAATTCTTCTCCTCCATTCTAATAATAAGTGTGGCTTCACAAGCGATTCATTCACCCAACGCTGCTGATTGGGACTTCACAGCACTTCAAAGGTAGGCAGCAATTTGGCTTTTTAACACGTCAGAGATAACAGTTCCTTTGCATCGGGATGAACTCATTATGGGCTGGGGACGCGATTATTTGCAGACTTTTCTGCTGATAGCAATGAAGAGATGAGGCAAAGTAATGGGTTGGGGCAGAACTCATTAAATGTCGAGTCAGAACAATGGGCTCTCCTCCCAGCCTTTAACTCCTTAGATTCATCTGGATCTTTCCATCTCCGCATCCTCCAGCCACTGGAGACTGAAACAACAATGGGCTCAAGGCGGCAAGAAAAGCCAGGCAATTATTTCACTTCAGTAGGAATTTAATGAAATTCTCCTGGTCGGAGGCAGATAAGGGTGCCAGGAGTGAATTGGGTCGCTGAGGCTCTGAGGTGGGAGACCAAAATGGGAGAAGATCAGGGAGCAGCTGCTCCCCTCTGGGGGCTGGTGCTGGTTTTAGGAGGAGCCCTAAATTCAAACACTGACACACCTCGAAGGGTGAACCAACATCTACCTGCAGCTGCTCGGGGTGCCCATAATTCAGCACCTAAATACAGACTAGACAATTGTCTGGGCCTCATATTCAGCTGGTTCTTTTAACATCTCCTGGATTGCTTTACATGTTTGTCAGGCCCTGTTTGTTCTATTGGCCCTGCAAGTGCAAAAAGGCTGCAAAAAGGCAAAAGCCACTTCTTTCTCTTCTGAGGTTTACTTTATCATCTTTGTCTCCTTACACCTGGAGGGCTGCCCATCATTCCTTATAGGGTCTTTATTCGGAAGATGAAAGGAAAAGGGTGTGGGAAAGGAGGGGAAAGAAAGGGAAAAAACCTTTTCTAGAAAAAAAACCGAGAAAATAATTCATTGAACTGCACAGGTTTTATTATTTATGCACCATACTTGGGAATACTAACACGTGAGCTGAGTACAGAGGGAAATTAAAATAGAGATGTCTCTGCTGTCAAGGGGAAAAATCCCTCAGCACCTCATTTCTTTCCCACCTCTGCCGTGGCTTGGGGAGGAGGATGCCCAGAAGAGCAGAGCCAGATTAGCAAATCCAGGCTGAGGGGAGGGTGGCGTTGGCTGTGCCATTCCTGTTGCTTCTGCTGCAGAGCAGGGATGGTGTGGCACAGCTGGCAGTGGCAGACATGGTCACAGCTCCACCCAGCTCATCCTTGCACAGCAGAAATACCAATTTTGCCTTTCAAGAGCTTTTTCCTGGTGTAACTCTCCAATTCTCTCTCGTGCCAAGCATTACAAGAGCCATTAACAATGAACATTTCTGGTGCAGAGTTTCAGGTACTCTTTCATGGGACACATCCCCTGGGTTCACACATCCTCACATTCCCAGGTGCAAGAGCTCCATTTGCCCAGGTGCCTTGAAACTCAGATTTGGCCATATCTGAAGTCCAGGGAAACACCTCCAGCCTTTATCAATTCAACCACAGTTGACCACAGCAAATTTCCAAGGGTTTTTACACTCCTGTCTGAGCCTGACCTTTCTCCCCCTGCCTTTTTTTTTTTTTTAATGTTGTCCCTGCAGTTTAAAATAATTACTTTTTCACTTAATAACTTAGCTGAGGTCCCACAGCCAGAAGAATTTTGTCCCCCCTGTGATTGCAGCCTGTACTTACCTGCACTCAGGGGTTACTCAGGGGGTCTCCACTGAGGGAAGACGATGAAGACCTGCAAACCTTGAATGCTCAGTGAACAGTTGTGTCCTTTACAGAGAATGAAATTCACAGTTTTGCTGTCTTTAGGATCCATTTCCCATCTTTACTTGTTGAAATTCACACCTGAATCCCAACACTGGGAACGCTCACACCCAGGCAGAGATCTTGGAGAGGAAACACTCTGGGGGTGTTTGAGGGGTGCCTTTGACCTGGGAATAACACCCACCCTTCTGCTGGGATCGAGGACAAGCAGGGGTGATGATGCCCCAAAACCCCCCAGCCCCAGCTGCAGGTTGTACACACAGCCCAGCAAAGAAGGGGAATTTTTTCTCTCTGTTGTTTCTTGCAGGTGAATTCCTCAACCATCTGCAGAGCATTTTCCCTTCATGGCCAGGAGCATGTGGGCCAAGGCTTGATGGGGGTGTGGGTTTAACTCCCCCCTTCCTCCCCCAGGCTGAACAAAGCCTTTGGTTGAGAGATCAGCTCTGGGCTTTGCGAGAAAAGTGAGCTTGGGGCACATGAGTGTGTGTGTCTATGTGTGAGTGTGTGTATTTTTCTTTTCTTTCCATCATACTAATGAAATTTGCAGACACGGAGAGGAAACGGAGAGTTATTTATAGGAGTGAGAGGAATGTGAGGCCTAATTGTGCTTAGTCTATTGCTAAGTATGTAATCTGTTTGCTATTACCCTTCCCAGTCCTGCCCACAGGTCCTGGAGGGGGGGGTTAAGTGGAACACAGACATCTGATGAAGAGAAAAATATCAGGTGGAGGTGTTTGCAAGCTTTAGGTGAGACAAGGATGCAGAGGCATTTTTGGGGTTAATTAAGTTGGGAAATTAGGATTTGTTAAAATGTTTTTGTGGGTTTTTTTACAGGCTGATGATAAAGGGCTGAAAATGTTCTGTAGGAACAGAACTGATGAATCCTTTTCCAACTTGAGTTGTCCTCAGTGTGTCCTTGGCTGTCCTGGACAGGGGGGACAAGCAGGACCAGAGGTACAGGGACCCCTCTGTGGGGCAGCCCCAGGGTAAAGCTGAGCCTAGAGCTGGGCTGAGCGTGGGGACCTGAGCTGCTGAGCTAAGGCTCATTCCTCATGGAAAAAGAGGAAAAGTCAGATGTGCAACCTGATACAGCTGCTAATATCTCCCAGGCAGGAGTGGAGCACTCCACAGCTCGGGAGTCAGCTGCTCTCTGCTCCTTATCTCTCTCCACTTGCCCTGGAATATTCCATTCCTACAGGTTTCGAGAGGCTCTGAAGGATCCTGTCACCTCTCCTGGGTCAAGGCTCCTCAGCTTTCCAGACAAACACTTTTCCCGGGATGTTTTGCCAAATGCCATGGTGACTCACCCTTGTCACTCCTCTTCTCTGGGGTAGCAACACTGAGAGGGAAAAACAACTGCTGTTTACTGCCATGCCCAAAATGGGCCTTGACACTGCCAGCAGGATTTGGAAAGACAGAAATAGAGGAGTGATTATGGAGTGCAATTAAGAGACAGCCCTCAGGATCCTCCTCCAGAGGAGGATTGGCTCCATCCAGGCTGCCTGCCATGCTTGGGATGGGTGTAAAGCTGCTGGAGAGCTGTGAGGGATGCAGGATGCTGCTCCCAGCTGGGCTCACCAGCCAGTCTGCCCCTTCCCAAAAGGATTCACGGACAATCCGTGGCAGCAAATCCAAGGCAGAGATGAAGAACTGCAAGACTTTTTTCTCTTTGGCTGGTGAAGAGAAACACACACAGTACTGGGACCATCCCCTGCCGTGTTCCCTGCAAGCAAATACAAAAGAAGAAGGAAAAAGGCTCAAGATATTCAGTGGCAGGTGACATTTTGGGCTGAGTCACAGAGATGTCCCCTGTGCATCCCCATGGGAATGGTCCTGCTCCAGCTTGCTGGCATTTCCCTTTCAGGCCCTGCTCCTAACTCTCAAATAAATTGTCTTTATTCAGTGGGAGAACGAAGAACTGTCCTGGTCACCACCTTTCTGCCAGGCCACCAAGGAAACACTGATTTAGGGTGTGACATTTGGGGTTTTTGTAGGATAAACAGGAGGAAATGCCAGGCAGGTGATCTGCGACCAGGCCGCGAGCCCTCCTCCACCGAGAGCAAAACACGGGATGTCAGTTGGCCACTGGCCAGTTGTTTGGCCACTGACCAACTGGCTGATGTTCCTGCCTTCCGTGCTTTCCCCCTGTACCCGATGGGAGGGGGTTTTACAGCAGCACTGAGTTTATTCCTGGGGTAAACAGCAGAAATTGGAGGGTAATTGCAGCAGGGAGTTCTCTTCCTGTTCCAGCACGAGGAACCCGCTGGGTGCCAACTGGATGTCAGCCCTCCAAATGTGAGAACAGTTGGCAGCTGCTCTGTGTTTGTCCCTCCCAGGACACGCAGAGGGATGTTGGGAAGGGTGGGAATGGGGATCCCATCAGTGCATCCCTCACCAGGGCGAGGGGATGGCGCAGGCAGGACACGGCACGGGCAGGGTGAGCTGTGCTGGTGGGGCAGAGAACCAGCAGGTTCCACAGGGAAGAACAGCAGCACCTCTATCTTGTGGAAACAACATCTTCAGCTGGATTTCAGCTGCACACGTCAGAAAAAAGACAAGTCTGAAATCAGAAATTCAGCCTGCTCTGTGTCATGAGGTGAACTGGCAACAGCTGGCAAGAGGCTTTGGTTTTATTTCTCCTCTTTTGGGTGGTTTTGGTATTTTTTTTACTATTTTTTTGTAATCAATTATAAATCAAATTCTTTTAGCTGTCTTCTACTGCTAAGAAAGGCTCTGCAGTGCCAGGTTGGTGTGTTTGTGTCATTATTTGAACATTGTTTGGATGTGGGTGTGATGTCAAAGGGTGTCACTGGCTGCCTGAAATCCCGGGCCAGGTTATGGCTGCTCACAGCTACAAACATGCAGGCTTTGAACTTCTGCTTGCTGGCTTCCCCAGCATCCTTCCTATTAATTAGCCCTCAGGAATTAATAATTCAAAAGTCTTTCCTCTTGCTGCAATTCTGACAACAGCGAGCGTGGCTGTGCTGCTGTGGATAACAATGGTGAAATACTCACAATTTCATAGCCTTGTTCTCTCCCAGCAGTGAGGCAGAGGCATCCCAGGCTCCCAACACCTGCTTTAAAACTCAGCTCAGCTCAGCTCAGCTCAGCTTAGACAACATCCCCCTGCTTTGGGTGCCTGAGCTCAGAGGTGTCCCCATTGTCCCCACTGTGGCAGGGCCACCACGTGAAGGACCAACAGTTCCCTCTCATTTCCATCCACTGCTGAAAGTCTGCAGGATAAATGGGAATTAGGATAAATGGGAATTAGGATAAATGCAGGATTGGGTTTGCATTTGCTTTCTGCTCACTCTGTGTCCTGGTTTGGCCATGCTCACACCAAAAGACACAAGTCCCACCAACACCTGGAGGGAATTGTGATGAAGGAAGTCCCTGTAATGACCAAACAAGAAGAAAACCTCTTGGAAATCTGTCAGCTGATGGACATCTGAGAATAGGAATGCAAACACAGCACTGGGATTGAGGGATGAGTGACCAGCCACACTCAGCTCCCTAGAGACCTGTGGGTAAATAAATCCCAGGGAGGACCAAGAAGAGCCTCCCCCAGGACAGAAAAACAGCCCCATTCCTCCCATGGACACTGGGAATGCTGTGCCACGGTCCCAGTCCTCCCATGGACACTGGGAATGCTGTGCCATGGTCCCATTTGTCCCATGGACACTGGGAATGCTGTGCCATGGTCCCATTTGTCCCATGGACACTGGGAATGCTGTGCCACGGTCCCAGTCCTCCCATGGACACTGGGAATGCTGTGCCATGGCCCTGTCCCTCCCATGGACACTGGGAATGCTGTGCCATGGTCCCAGTCCTCCCATGGACACTGGGAATGCTGTGTTATGGCACATGCAGGAGCCTTGCCCTGAGAAATGCACAGGCTGTTCCAAGAACTTCCATGAAAACAGCAACAACAGCAAAAAATGATGTAGCAAACACAAAGCAGAGGTCAGAGGGTGCAGCTGAGGGGAGGCTTTGCTGTCCCTAAATCCACTCAGGAGGAGCTTCATGGCAAACTCCCCCCAGTGCTTTAGGTCCTGCCTCGTCTCCTTTGGCTGCTCGCTGAGAAATGTTAATTTTCCACGTGTTATTCTGTCCACAGCTATGAATATTCACAATATATTGACAACTTGGAAAGAAAAAAAAAAGAGTTTGTTTAGTTAGAAAGTATCAAAATAAAAAGTGTCTCTTTGTTTAAGATGAGACACCTAAACCGTAATCAACAACTTCTCTTGAGTCAGAAACCATGAATCATCCTCTGAAATCAGATCACATTCAAGATTAGTTTCCCATGGTATTGCTGAGGAATTTCAGATATTTCCATTGGGAATAGAGTTATTTCTTTAATCACCCCAAGGTTAGTTTGTTCAGTCCTAATTTTTTCTTGTATAATGAAGGTTGCCCAAAGGTAAGGAATGCTGAGATCTAAAAGTGGAGTGGAAAAAAAACAACAATTGTGAGATCAGGACAAGATTTAGAGACCAGAGAGACACAAATTGGACTATTTTATCTTGGCAGAAAGTTCATAAAGGCTTATGACCATCTTGTTAAATACTCCACAAAAATAGCTCAAGATAGAAGCCTTCTCCAGCCAGCTGCCCATAAAGCAACAGAGATATGGATTTGAACATGGGTTTCACGAGTTTTCTCTCTTCTCAGGGAGAATAACAAGTGTCAGGGGGTGTGTGATGGAGATCAGTGCAGGTTCTTCCCCCAGAGGGTGCTGGCACTGCCCAGGCTCCCCAGGGAATGGTTCCAGCCCCGAGGCTGCCGGAGCTCCAGGAGCTGCCAGGGTGGGATTGCTGTCCATGCAGCACCAGGAGTTGGATCAGGGATCCTTGTGGGTCCTCCCAGCTCGGGATATTCCATGATTCTCTCTTCTTCCTGTGTCACCTCTGCTCTGTGACACATCAGGAGGACCCAGCTCCTGTTCCACCCAGCAGAGCCATTCCAGAGCCACCCCGGATCAGGGAATTGCAGGAGCATCCAGAGGGTGATTCATGCCCCGAGGGCGTGAATCACCCTCTGACACAGCCAGCTCCCACCACCAGTGACTCCAGAGGCTTCGCAGTGGGCTTTAAATAGATGTTTAACTTTAAATTGATAAGCTTGGGTGAAATCAGTCCTATCCAGGATCCAGAAAATCCAGGGGTTTTCTATCCCAGATCCATTAAGCACATCTCATGGCTACTTTTTTTGGGAATATCCTTCAAGCCATGACGTATATTTAGGCAAAATCTTCCCTGCTGCTTGGATGATGGTGGGAATTTTCTCAAGAGTAATTTTTTGGGTTAAATCAAGCGTTTGGCCAATCTCTCTGAATCAGCAGCTCTGAGCAACAGCAGAAAGCGGAGCTCCAAGTGCAGGGGTAGAAATTTTGATGCAGAGGGTGAATAATACATGGAAGTGAAAAGTATCCTGCTATTTTCACCTCCTGCTTTTCAAAGGGAGAGAAGGAGAGGGAGAGAAAGCACTCGCTGAAAATCCTGAGTTAGGTTTTTAATAACACAGATTTCTCCCCCACTTTTCTCCCCTCCTTTCCCTTCACATAGTGAGAAACTTCCCGAGGTTGCCAATGGCACTAAAACAGACCGTCCACTTTCAGAATTTCAGTCACCTCTTAAACACTTAGAGGCTGAATTGAGTGAAAACCCGTTTTCAGAAGAGTTTCCAAGGAAGTAGAAAGTTTCCACACCCTGAATCTTGCACTCAAAGAAGTGGAAAGTGGCTGGTGGCTGCCAGAAGTCTGAATAGTTGTATCATGGGCTGCTGAATGCTTTATTCTGTCATAAAAAACACGAACATGCTTGGTGCTCGGCTGAAACGCACAAATACCCTTTGAGAAGCGGAGCTGCACAATATATGACTTGTGAATTCTTCTCTCCTTGCATTTTCTTGGCATAACGTTGCTTTTCAGCTGCCTCATACCAAATAAATTCTGATGAAATCGCACAGCTTGTGTTTTGCAAAATTCAAGCGTTGCAATCACAGCGAGAAAAAGAGAGAGGAATGTGCCTCGTACTAAAGACACCTGGATGAGAAAATCTGTAGCCCCAACTGTTTGGGAATGACTAATCAGGGACCACATGCTATGTGAACTTTTACTGATCTCACCTATTTATGGCTTCAAATGTAAAGCCTGGACTCCACAGAGTGCTACAAAGCAAAATAAATGATCAACAAGACATTGAGTTGAGACTCTGCACTGGAGATTACAGATTTGGAGGCTCAAATCTGGAATAAATTTGGGGCATTTTAGGGGTGCTGAACCTTCCCACTCTACAGTGAGGAGGGTGAGATTTGTGCCCAACTTTTCCTCCTTCCTTCATGTGGGAGGACCCAGTTGGGAAGCCAGGAGTGACCATTTGGAGGATTAATTCCCCAGCTGGCTGAGCTGTTCATCTCTGGGTATGTTTTATTATTGATTTGGTCTCTTTTCCCAGCTTGCAGCTCAAAGGGGGTTGAGGAGCAGATGTTGGCAGAAGGTGTTTTTCAGCTGGTTCATGGTGAAAGGACTCTGGAGAGCTCAGAGATGGGTTCAGCTTTCTGCAATTCCATAAGACTTGACCATACCAAGAGGAAATGTACAATTAACAACATTTAGAGTTTTGAAAGCCTTTTCTTGCTGTTCACCCTTTCCGCTTTGGAAAAGAAGATTTGCTGCTTACAATATTCCACTGGCTGCTCCAATGCAAGGGTGAAGGTAATGAAGGAAAAGACAACATCAAACTTTAAAATTCATCCTCATTCAGTGCTTCAAGTCTATGGGAGAGCTCTGGAATTAGAGTTCTGGGTGGGACACTGTGGTGTTCCCACTGTTTGACCCTGCTTGATGATCCTGCATTTATATAATGACATAAAACTACATTTATTAACCCATTCAACCACCTTCTGTCAAGGATTTT